CAACCTTCATTCAGTGGCTGATGGAAGCAGAGACACACTCCCAGGGCTAAACACTGAGCTGAACTCAAGAAAGCCAGTAACCGAGAGGGAGGATTGGTGACCATAGGGTTTAAGACTGGGCTGGTTTAACTCCCAGAAACAGCTTACCTGACAAGGGTTAGCTCTTGAATCCCAGACTGATGGGTGGGAATCCAGCTTGGGACCGATCAAGCCTCCCTGAATGTGGGTGTCAGTGAGGAGGCCTAGGTAATCTATTGAGCCTTGGGTAGTAGATCAGTATTTATCCCGGGTATACAAATGAACTTTGGACTCCCATCCAACAATGTGAGATGCATTTCACCGTGGATTCTTGGGTGAGGTGCTAGGCCCTGCCCTGGATGAAATGACAGACTATGGACACCCCCATGTAGGGCCTCATCCTCCATGGGGAAATGAGGGTATATTGGGGGGGGTTGGTGGGAGAGTGTGGGAGGAGGGTAGGGAAAGGGAGAGGGACCTGGAATTGACATGTTAAGCAACCTTGTTTCTAATTTAATTTTAAAAATAAAATATGAAAAAAGAACATCACTTCCTTATTTTGGAAAATTAATTGAGCTGTAATTTTTTACTCTAAATTGGTCTAACTAATGTTTCAAATGTTTGAAAAAATATGCATTTTAGCTAATAGTACAATTATGTCACATCAGTGTAAATGTTTTCCTCAGATTTTAAAGTATGTTTGATATAAGCAATAAACTGGAGTAATCTTACTCCAGCAATTTCATGAAACTAGTTAGGTGTGGGAAATAAATAACTGTTTATATTATATAATAATAATTGAATTTTTAGAATAGATTATAAAGCCAAATTTCTTGTAATTTATTATTCTTTCAATAGTGTATAGACATATCTGGTCCCACATTTATTTACAAATATGATTCTTTGCATTTGTTTTCCTGGTGCTGGGATTATGAGATTGTGTCAAAATTCTTAGTGTTTTATATGGATGCTGGGATTGATTTCAAGTCCTCATGCTTGCACTTTGCCAACTAAGCAATCGCCCCAGATCCTCAAATTCTTAAAATAAGATAGATTCACTAAATAAAAATTTGAAGTTTGAGCACCCAGAAACCAAATGCAAAATATCATAATTGTAAAAAATGCTGTACTAGATATATGTGTTTCCTTTTGCTAGTACAATAAATTATCACAAACTCAGTATGTAGATATTTAATAATCAGAGGTTGACTAATATGGAATTTTAATCCAATTACTTCTGCACTCATTGTCTTGCACACGATATAGTTCAAGTTTGGCTCATCTGATTCACTGAAATTATTGTCAATCCTCTGTTCATTGTCACAAATTCATGCTGACATGATAATTGACTTACCTAAACCTAACAAAAGAGAAAGTCAGAACAGAAATAATGATCTTAGGTTGACTAATATGGAATCTTAATCCAATTACTTCTGCCATAGACCATTGTTTAGCATATTAAAAGACTAGTCAATGCTCACTGAGAGAAGAATGTAGGGTTGTTGGAAGCCATCTTCAGTGTGCCACTACCAATGATTCCTATTTACATAAGTAGATATAAACAAATCATATACATTTTACATATATAATATGATCACACATGTGTTTTCACTATATTTAATTTATGTATATAGGCTACATTAGGTCTAGAAAATGCATGTGTCTTCATATGATATATGGGGAATATGGTGTTTCCTAAGAAAATAGAAGACTACAAATGCATAAACTAAACAGGTGACATTTTAGTTAAAAATAAACATGAACTCCTTTAAAATTGAATGATAGGTGTGGGATAGCTTCTTCTGTCACTTTAATAGGACACAGTGTGTGTTTTTGTTTGTTTGTTTGATTGATTGATTGATTGATTGATTTAAAATACAGTATATTAAGGGCAGTAATTTTCCAGACCATCTAGAAATTATTCTTGAAAGAACATGCGCAATTCACTGTCACCCCGTGCCTGGTGCATATAGTAGACCCCTAATGCACAGAGCCTATTTTCATAGTTCACAAAGTCAGCAGAGAAGAAAGAAGAGAAGAAGGGGTAAGAAGTTAAGAGAAATGAGCCAAAGTAGGCCGGGTTCTCATGCATGCCCTCTTGCCCCCACATTTCTCCAATGTGAGACACATTTACTTGTTTTGGAGTTGACAATAGAAGAGGAAAGTTTTCATTTTTATATAAAAAGTTATAGTCATGCTTCTGTTGAATGTATGGTCCTGTCTCTAATAATTGACAGTGCCAGTGAAAAATATTGATGGTATGAAAATAAATCTGAATTTCACCAATCTTTAACTCCCTGGTACAAGGACAGATGTAAAATAAATTGTGGTCTGCAAGGCATAGGCGTTTAAGATAACTAAAATAACAATTTCAATCAAAAGCACAAACAAACAAAAAGGCTGGTAAAGATACAAAGTACAATTATGTTTAGTCTACACTGTTTATGTATATGTACACTGTACATGTCACTGTATCATATATGTCCTCGAGTCATACTTTCTAATTTAGAATGCATTAACCCTGTTTTTGTCTGAAAATAAGCACTGTATTGGATGTAAAGTAAGAGAAAGCTACAAATTGAATTCTTGAACTTGTTCCCAGCCTTGCATGGGAAACAGATAAATGAACAATAGGAAAAAAAGTTCACACACTCCTTAATAAAAGTGCTAGCAAGTAGATGCTCATAGGAGATGATGGTTAATTCCAGTGACAGCAGTTTTTGGATATGAATGGATTATTATGGAACTCAAATATATAGAAAAATATAGAGATGGTACTAGACAAAGTTTGGTGTATAAAAATACAGTGTGTTCAAAAATGAATGTAGTTGTACAGAAAGAAACTTGAAGCAGGATGAATGCAGATATCACAATGTCTTTAATGCTGTGCTAGAAACTCCAGAGATAATAACAATGTGATGATCTTTTACCTCCATCAGGTAGCAATGAGACAAGCCTATCTAAGTTCTCTGAAAGGAAAATTTATGTGTGTACATCAAGTTGTATATGGATTTGTTGTACGAAAGGGGGAGAAAGAAGCAGAACACATTATTTTGTAACAAAGGAAAGAGGAAATTTTCAACCGTATAGTCAAAAAGCTACATTTTATGAAGAGAGCAATCTATGAGAATTTTATGGCAATAATTTTTGATAATTGGGTTACCGTAGTGTCCATCTGTGTATTGTCTTTGTGCAAGTCATCTCTGAGGCTTGTAGTGTTGAAGAAACTATCATAACTTCCTGGTTTTCAACCTCTTTCATTCTGGTATCTAAGGCAGCATCATCTCTCTGGAATTTTCTCAAAACAGTGTATCCATCTGATGCTGGTCCTGAAGATCAAAACTGTATCACAGATGATTTGGGTTTTGTAAATAGACTGGTTTCTGAAATGATATAATCATTCTCTGCAATGAAATACACAGATGCATGGCTTAGTTTATATCAAAGCATAATGCATGGAGTGCATTTTTCATTAGATTCTTTAACATGTGTGTCAAGAATACCTACCTCTACAATGCGTTGACAATGACCAGATGGATCCCTTAACAGTAGGTCAAATAGTTGTATATGGTCCCATATGCAAAAAAGTCAAATAGGCAATACCAATTACAACTAACGTTCATAAATGAAGTATATTGTCAATAATTTTTCAAAATATAATTGAGTGAATCACAGATTGATTAATCTGTAAGCCAGTTCCCTCCCCCCAAAATACATACACTATCAAGTTAATGTTTATTGAACATATATGTGCATCCCTGTATATTTTGCTTGCTATCACTCTTTCCTAGGACATTTTTAAGGTCTTACAAACCATCGGAAATATTGTCCCTGGCTTGTAGGACTACATATCTGTTTCTGTACTGTCAGGCTTTGTAGTTCTGGTCCTTAGGGATGTCTGTCTCTCAGTTATTCTTTAATAGATTTCGTTATTCTAGTTTTATTATTCAGCGCCATGCAGGTAACTTTTCATTTGTAAAAAATGGAAAATAGTTTCATTTATTGTAGTAGAATTACTTTTTTAGCCAGGCGGCAGTGGCACATGCCTTTAGTAGCAGCACTACTCGGGAGGCAGAGACAGATGCTTCTCTGTGAGTTCGAGGCCAACCTGGTCTATAGAGTGAGTTCCAGAATAGGCTCCAAAGCTACACAGAGAAACCATGTATCAAAAAAACAAAACAAAACAAAACAAACAAAAAACCAAATAGTTATGGAGCAAAGTGATCACATTCTCTTAAAAGGAAATTCTTTAGCTAGCCTCTTTAGTGCAGATATGTTTCTTACTGAAGATGCTCAAGGCACAATCTCTGCATATGACAAATGACCCATTGTGTACATTGTAAGCTGGTGAACCAGCATAGGACCAAACCAGGCTCCCTCAACGTTGGTGTCAGTTGGGAAACCTGGGCAGTCTATGGGGTCTCTGGCAGTGGATCAGTGTTTATCCCTAGTGTACGAATGGACTTTAGGAGCCCATTCCCTCATGGATACTCTCTCTGCCAAGATACATGGGGAGGGCAGAGGTTCTGCCTCAAATGATGTGACAGACATTGATGATCCCCTATGGAAGGGCTCAGTCTCCCTGGGGAGTGGATGGTGGGATAGGATGGGGAGTTGGTTGGGGGGCATGGGAGGATGAGAGGGAGAGGGAACTGAGATTGATATGTAAAACAAGATTGTACTTTAAATAAAAATTTATATTAAAAAATGTAAAAAACAAGGAACAACAACAGTAATAACAAAATCCAAATAAGTCTTTTCAGGAACAAATTAAGAAAGAGACTCATCTTGCTGATGACTGATATGTCTAATAACATATTTATAGAATTTATAATACTCTGATAATGTCAACAGTTTTTGCACCTGGACAATCATTTTCCGTTGATGTTACTGTTTGTCTTTTAAAATTCTACTTGAGGGATACTGATAGTTAGAAATTACATGAGCAAATGAGGAAAAATAACTTTCTTAACTCTTTGCAGAAGACAAGAAAATAAAGACTAAGGAAAAGACTGAAGAAAAGACTAAGAAGGAAATGAAAGTTGGGAAACAGGAGAAAGGGAAGCCAGCAGCTGCAAAAGTAAAAGAAACTCCGAAAACGACATCAAAAGCCAGGGAGAGGGATGACAAAGAGCCTGCAGCTGTGCCTGAGCATGAACAGAAAGGTAAACATTCCAAGGAGGTGGCAGCCGGAGGTTCTGGAGTTTCTAAAAGAATCTTGGGCAAGAAGCAGATGCAGTCCAAATAAAAGCTGAAAAAGAATAAAATTAAACCTCAGATGGGGTAAAAGACAGATCCAAGCTGATATACCTGAAGGAAGTACAGTGAATTGGGTATTAACATTTTAATAAATATAGGAAAATGTGTTCAAATAGCTAGATGCATTTTCATGGATTTTGTGTGAGCACCCGGAGTTATTTAAATGTGGGGCTGAGTGAGGAGACCTTGAGGATTTCAGTCAGGTGTTTAAATAATAATTGAACAATTGTAGGTGTCAGACTCTGGAGACATACGGTTTTAAAAATTGACAGCAACCCTCAAGGAGTTTCTCAAGCATGCAATGTACAAATCATACAAAAGAAAAAGAAAAGAATCATGAAAACTCTACTTCCTTGATATTGCTGCAATGATACTATTAAGAATATGTGCATTCAACTACCAAGTTTGTTAATTGTTGCTGGAAACCTGTTGTAAGAAAAAGAAGTGTCACGGTGCTTTTTTAGTCAGTCCCCTTAGAAAATCTTCAGGAAGCTCTGCAAAGGACAGGTGTGCTCTCCAAGTATGACATGTTTACTCACTTCCCAGAAATATACCTTTTAAATGGAGAGGAAATTCTTTACAGAAATGTGCTGTATGAATATAAAATTGTCATTAAGGGCCTCTTTGTTCCAGCATTAGAGTCCTTTTTGTGCCATCCATCACAAAATTCATTCCTCAGTCCAGGATGCTACAAATCCTGACCTCACTATTCAAGACACAGGGTGGGCTCAGTGAGAACTGTTTCTGAGAATGAGGTGTCTTTCCTTAGGAATGCTACACAGGAAACATTTCTTTACTCCAGTAGCAATTAAATAATTCTACCTAGAACTTAAAGTGATCTGATTTGCATCTATACAACTTTATTGATTCCTTTAAGCTTTACTAATAGGAAGGCTATTTGGTTTGTAGAACTGGAAACTTTCTTTCTCAATATAATGTATATTATATGAATTACACACCCTGCATTTTCAACTTATTTTCCAACTTCACAATGTTTTTAAACTTTGATAGATAAGTAATTCATGTAAGCTTGTATTTATATGACAAAAGGCACATGTAGAAAATATATTTACAAAGGAAATAAGAAAAGAAGAATGGAGTAGTTACCTTTTTTTTCTTTTTCCTTTCCTTTTTTTTCTTCTTTTAGTGATTCGTAAGTGTTAGGTAGCTCAAACCTATTTTTTTTTTGGCTTTTACGAGACAGGGTTTCTCTGTATTGTTTTGGAGGCTATCGGTCCAGCCAGGCCTCGAACTCACAGAGATCTGCCTGCCTCTGCCTCCCGAGTGCTGGCATTAAAGGCATGTGCCACCACAGCCCGGCCAAACCTATTGTTTTTAAGATGATTATAGGATCTTGAAAAATTGAAAATACAAAGTGTTATCTTTGTAAATAATAATCATGCATGAATCTTTGTGTTATAGCAGATTAAAATAAAGAAAAATACTTTAAATGGGTATTTTGCTGTGATAAAAATTGAGAAAATTAGTCTTTTGATTCCCTATAAGCACAGTTGGATAGTTTGCATTCCCAATTGTCCTTAAAAGAAAAAAAGAGTAAAATGAAACCAATTAAAACTTATCAAGTGTATTTTAATCTGTATTTCATTATATAAAGCATATGCCATTTACACTAAATGTCAAAATACTTAGTGACTAGGCACATGAGCACAATTTGGGATGCTTATTTTTCCTGTCTCTTGGGAATGGAAACCATATTTCATTGAGAAATTAGTCACACTAGGACTAAAAGGGTGTCTTTTTCCAGGTCACAAATACTATATTTTGTCATATCACCAACCAAACTTATTAAATACATAAATATATTCCAATTCCATTTTAATTTACTCTTTTCATTTTTATATAAAGAGCTAGTTATATATTAAAATGAAATCCAAATATCACTTCCATTTAGAAGCAGAGGCACCTAGGCAAACAGTATGCTAAGTCATGACTGCCTACTGAGAACTTCTACACCAATTAAATAATTACTTAATTAGGTAGACATTAAAAATTTAACTTAGAATGCCTGGCCAAAGTCAAGTTAATTTTTCCCCTCCTTCCTTCCCTCCCCCTCCCTCCTTCCCTCCTTCCCTCTCTCCTTCCTGCATCCCTCCCTCCCTCTCTCCTTCACTCCCTCCCTTTCTTTTGTTCTTTTTTTTTAACCAAACTGATATTTAAGAACATTTGTTTTTAAAACGCTGGTCACATGGTAGTAACAGTTCAAACACAATGAAGACATGGCATTTTCTTTTTTCTTTTTCTTTCTTTTATTAAAGAGGTGACTTCGATTTTTAAATTCCTATATTGATAGCAAAATGAAATTGATTTATAATCATCTCTGGGAAATAAAGTTTAATTGCTTAGTTAAACTATGCCTAATAAGGGTGGATATATATATGTATATATATAATTTTCAAATTAATGCTGTGAGTGTATGTCTATGTGTGAATTTGTGGGGAAGAATGCAGGTAAACTTCAAAGCCAGAAGAGGGCATTAGATTCCCAGGAACTCGAAGATGAATTCACCTCTTCAAGAGCATGAAGCACTCCTAATAATTGGGTGGCTTCTCCAGTTCCTCATACAAATAATAGAAAAAAGAAGCCCTTTAAACACACAGTGCCCTTGGTTCTTTTGGAAACAATCTTATCTGGGACAGACATTTGTTAGCAAAATTTACCTATGGAGTAAAAGTATCAATAAACACATCATTTGGTTACTTTCAATATTTACTATTGCAGTATATAAACATGTATAGATACTGAAAACATTGAAAATGCTTACCATAAATTTACCCATATTTGCTTATCATATAATCTGTTTTTTAGACCACTTCAAATTCACTCAAGGTGAGATGGCAAAGTTGACATGATTTGACATTTCTCCCTGCCTTCTGCTGCTTTCTGCCAAGTCTGTGGAGAAATAAAAATCTCATAGCTGTTACATACTATGCTTATTCTTTTGTTATTTTCATTATTTTTTTCTAACAACGATGCAAGTACTGGTGGCAGCTAGAGTAAGTGTGGCTAATGAGGACCCGCTACACAGCACACCAGACCACATGCACCCATCCTCATTAGAGAATGTTGTTTGAAAGCCTTTTCTGATGATTGTCTGTGGCCAGAATGCATTTTGTCTTGGCTGATACTCCACAGGGAGCACAGGCTAGGCATCAGCACCTGGGTGGCATAGCCAGTACTCCCTGAGGAACCACAAAACGGGAATGAGAAACATAAAATTAACTCTAGCAGAGCGTTATTTTTTGTTTGTTTGTTTTTGTTTTTTTTTTAAATCTTCAAGTGATAACCAAATAGAAAATTACTTTATAAAAGTTACTGCCCTATAACTGTAAATGCCAGAGGGCTGGGCAGTTAAGACTTTCTTTAAGAGTAGTTTCCTACTGTATTGGGATGGATTTAGAGAAGTATTTTCATAAAATGAATATTCTAAAATCTGGAAGTCTCAGGCAGGAGAAGGCCAACTTCCTAGAATTTTCTCAGATTGTTAAGGTTGACCCTGAGGGCAGGTGAAATTCAGCATTATAAAAAGATAATTTAAAACATACATAAATATTCTTCTTAAGTTCCCTTGATATATTGAAGTCATTAGAAATGCAAAGTCACAAATCATTTACATGTAGCTGTTAAAGTGCCATCCATTACCTAAGTAATAGTCTAGATGAAAAACAACACAAAATCCTACTACCACCACCACCAAACAAAACCTTTTGAATCCACAAAGGATTTGCCACATCAAACTAAAATCTTATCGAACTATTCTTACACTCTTGAAACCAGAAGTCATGGCAATAATAAACAAAACTTACTGTTGATACCCTTTGAAAAGTTTCACTGTACTGTAAATAAACAATTAATGAGGAAAACTAGTGGGTCTTTTCAGTTAACTCAGAGAAACATTCAGCACCTTATTACACTTGGAGACAGAAAAGAATATTTAATTTTGGAGGAGTGTTAAACCCAAAAATAGTGAGGAGAAAGCCCAAAACCATGGTTGTCCAATTGAAGCAAGCTTTATTAATACTGGTCAGATCTGTACCTGGGATTTGCAGAGAATGGCACTGAATTAGGTCAATAGGGCGCCTTTAAAGGCCAAAACCCACAAGGCTAAAGTGCTGCCAACATCCATCTGATGTTCCTACCTATTGGTGATCAAGCACATTCTGTATGGATGGAGCAACCAATTTATTTACTGAAGTGAAAACACTTGACAATAGTCCCCAGCATTCCAGGAAGTTGTCTGTCCTTGGACAAGTGGCATTTACAGGTTAGCCTTAGTCTGTACAAGAGGTATACAAACCCTTTTATAGAATAAATATTGTATACCTCATAAATTTTGAACATATTTAACAAATAATAGGGAAAATGCTATTCCCGGAAGTTAAATTACACAGAGTGAATTTTTGGGAGGCAGGGGGTATAAATGAAGAAAAAGAGCAGGAAAAAAAGAAATGAAGGGTTGGAGATCTGTGTGTGATTGTTACTGTCTTAATTAAGATTTTGATCAAGTGTATTTTTCTATGCCAGTGAGAGAATTAAAATTTAAGAAAACCCTGAGTGCAGTCAGAATAATCAGGTGAAGAAACATTTTTGATGGGGGTGAGGAAATTATAGAAAGATCTGTAGAGCTGAAGGAGCACATGGAAAACCCAAGTTCCATCTCATGGAGAACTGTTCTTTTAGTCTTCATCCCCTAATTCAGAATGAATCAGTTTGAACAAAGACAAAGAGAGTGATGGGCTCATAGCTTTTAGCCAAACACATCATCATCAAGCATTGAACCTGGAAGATTGGTCCACCAGCAAGAAGCCCTAGTGGAGGGAGAAAAAGGATGCTAAGCCTGGTTTTAAGCTATTCTAGAAGACATGGATGAGGCCATTTTGACTATATATCTGTGGTTTCCATCACAACTGTCTGACGATCAGGGATCTAACTCTGAGTCCCCCAGTATGATTAGGCACCATGGGGGACTGTTAACAAACAACACATACTTTTAATAGACCTGTGGTGTTAACTATTATATGGGTAAGAGATCCCTATATCTACATTTTTGCATATTTCCTATCAGTTTTAGAAACACATATGAAGGAAAAGAGGAAAAGAGAGACAAATTCCAAAACAAGGGGAATTATTGGTATTTCGCACTACTCCAAATTTATATATTCCATTTAAGAAAAAAAAGATTCTTGACCTTGTTTTATAGTGAAGTTATTTATTTTACAAGAGGGGGGAAAATGTGTTCAGAATGTGAAAAAAAAGGAAAAAAAGAGAGAGAGAGAGAAATGCCTATTTCAATGTTACTTTTGCTTAATACCACAGGACTCCCATAGCCTGGGATGCAACAGAAGGCATCCTGAAGGTACCTCTGTGAACTAGTAGATTCATGGGCTGGTCTGAAAGATAGCCTTTTTCTATTCCCTACATCATTTCAGCAACCTGAGAACATTTCACCTTTACAAATGACATGAGGTTTGATACCCTTATGTCAGTACTAAAGGAAAGGAGCCTATTTTTTAGATCTAGGGCAGTAGTGACATTCACTACTTTCAAGACCTGGCAGAGCTTCACAATACAATTTTTATCAACTGGTGTTAACACTCTGAAAAAATGAGGTTTATAAATATTCTTGGTTTTGTATTTATATAGAAATATATATAGTTATTTTCTGTTTGATAAAAATAATTTTGAACAATTAAAATGTGTCATACTACAAAATTCAATAAACTTTCCTGATGCTACGGTGTTGTTTTGGTGTGTTAAAAATACCTACCACAAGGAAATTAAAATGTCAATCATTAAATACAAGATTTATAGTATACAAGTTTTAAAGATACTATGGTAAAGTTTATGAACTCTTTTAAAGGATTTTAGAGTGGAAATTAGAGTTAGATTGACCACAGGAGAATCCAAAGTTAGCAAGAATATGGATTTCCATGGATATATGTAATTAAGAGGTGAAAGAAAAAAATCCAACTCCTGAAATCGCTTTGAACCTTGTCTGTGACAAACATCTGTTTACTTTGTTAGTTTTATTTTTATAGACTACAGACTAGCCAAGAATGTGAAATAATCTCATATAATCATTCAGTTAATTAGCTGAATATTTCTGTCATTTGGTGAATTTGAGCAGTTTTTCAGATCATATTTCTAATAAAGAGAGTTTCCGTGAACAGGACCCTGACAGGTTACAATGGTTTACCCTCAAGAAACAATCTGCAGCTTCACTTGGGCAGCTAGCAAGAGTCTTGAATCTAACTACCAGTTGGTAAATATTCCTAGTTGGAGAGAATGTTCTTTTGTACAACTCATGTTTCTTTCTCAAAAATCTCACAAGAACAAGTAAGAATAATTGTTTTAAACTTAGGAAAAGGTTTTGAATTTTCAAGTATTTCTTACCCTGATTTAATCATGAACAAGTCTGTTTCCATAGTTAAGGGGTTTTGTACATAATATGTGGAACATTATGTTTATTATTTATTTGCCTCTGTATGTTTGTAATATCACAATTTATTCCTTTACAGAAATAAACAGTAGCCAAAATAGACTTTCACTGTTTTGTTTGTTTTGTTACACCTTGTCTCCATATAAAATAGACAAATGTTGATGACATGTTTTCATTGCTTCTTTTTTCTCTTTATTCTGTCAGATCAGTATGCATTCTGTCGATATATGATTGACATGTTTGTCCATGGGGATTTAAAACCAGGTATTCCAAACAATTCTTATTGTTGTCTGTTTTAATAGCCTTTGTTTCTAAAATTGTCTGCTTTCTCTGTCTTGTGCTACATTTTCATTTAAAAACTTGCATAATGCATGTGCAGACCTAGAATAAAGACAATAATATGCAGAAATAATATCTGGTATGGGGGCCTTTAATTTTACTTGCATTTGTTGCATGGCTGGTTGCAAATGAAATCAGTTGAAAGCTCAAATATTAATATCTTCATATATATAAATGCTAATATCTTTAATAATATCTTGGAGTGAAGCGATGAGTCACTTGGTTTGATTCCTGGTATGTTTGGAAGAAAAGACACAACAAGGAACATATCAGAAAAACATCTTTTTCTAATAGTGGATAAAATTCACTATAAAATCCATCACTTCTCAAATACTAAGACTTACCTTTCCAGGACATTTAGATTTTCTTATTTACATATGTATGGTCTTTGGTGATTCCAGAGAGCTAAAACTCTGTTAATATCACTATAACAAAGTAAGGCATTCATTTACAGTGATAAACCTCCACTCTTGGTATCTTTTATTTTTATTCAAAGTATGCTAAGGAAATTTTAATTAAGATTCCTTGTACTATGCTTTATAAATATCTATGATCTGAAGGACTAAATACTTGGAATGGAAGCTCACAGTTTAATGCAAACTGTAATTTGTTTCTTTAACTGTTTTGTGGAAGTCATTCTACAATTCTAAAATGTCGGTGTATGCATACACTGACAGCCAAGGATATCATCCATGAGCAAGTATGTGATACATTTAGTTCCTATATATTTAAAAGCTCAAGAGAACTTAATCACTCTCGAACATGAAGCCAATCCCAATAGCTGATTCTCTCAGATGGTTTTAGCTTCTTCCTTTTCCTCCTCTATTCTTTCTCTTCTCCCCTTCTTTTACTCTTTTCTTTATCCATGTTTATATTATTTAGAAAGTGTGATGAAGAAAGATGAGCCTGGAAATGATAATACTTTATTGATGAAACTAATCTCTTCCTACATCTGTATGTACTCACCTAACAACATTTGATAGACATGGGGAGGAAGGAAGTGTGATCACTGGGGAAAAGAGAGTTTTGGACAAAAATATACTTAATTCTTTCCTAGCATGAGACTGAACTAGCTGTTGAATGCCTGCTCTTCAATTTTCTTCCATTTAAAACAGAATTTACAGTAATGACATTCTACCATTTGCAAAGCATCCAATGGATATGCAAAAAAGTGTTGGGACACCTCAAATTTAATATTTTCAATTTTTTATATCACAACCTTTGCACGAGTACCTCATGGAAAGGTTCCTCAAGTCCTAATGTACACATATCATGAATAAAATTTCCCTAAGATATCTGTTGCCAACATCATTCAGCTTTGGTGGTTGGAGAAAGCCTTACTCTAGCTGGATGATGACACAGTACTGTTATCCAGAACTCAGGGGGCTGAGGCAGGAGGACAGAGAGCTTCTGATTGACCTGAACTTCAGAGAAGATGCGACTGAAAAAAAAAGTAAAGTAAAATAGAAAGATCGGAAGAAAATCATACTTTATATGTGCTTTGCTTTTAAAGGATCAACATGCTTAAGATGAAACATATTGTTGATATGCGTAGTTTGATAAATACTAATATATATATATATTGTTTCCTTGATTGCTCCATTAGTTTTTAAATTTCAGTTTGTGATAAAAAGAAACCTTCTTTTGCTACTTCATCTATTTATATTATCTGCTAATCGGTGACAGAATATTTCATAACAAAGTCACATGGCAAAGTGAAGCATGCATTGCTGAAAGCAGTGAGGAATGATAGGATGTTGGCTGTGAAAGTACTAATCAACTTCATGAAATAATCAACAGCTGAAGGTCAGAAGGAATGATGGAAGCATGTCTTTTAGGGTTAAAGTGGATTATGCTAGTGAATATACAGAAATGATGTGCCATAATGCACAGGTGATGGTGCTCCAAAGATCATAGATTTAAATCTATATCAGTGTATATTATTCTAACTCTGAAAAACCATTCCTGAAATGTATCAGCATAAGCCTCTCTGTTCTATACCTTACCTTATTTTTTCTCTGATTTATTTCATGTATGTTTACACTTACTGTTTTGAAAATATAATATGTGAAGCAATATTTTATATTAGTATTTCTTAGCCAGGCACTAAAATAGAATAAGAAGGAGAAGGGAAGTAAAAGTTGACAAATTGTTCGGTTTTTCATTGACACAAAAAGGGATTACACTGTCTTATGCTTGTCAATGGGGCAGTAACAAAAAAATGAATGATAAATACAAAGTGTAATGAGCTAATTTTTACATAAAGGAATAAAAATGATTTAAAATGATTTATGTGGGCACATTAATTTGGGAAAAGGTCATTGACATGAAACTGACTCTGAGTGACAACTGGAGAATGAAATGATTCCTGCTGAGATTATTGCTCAATACATATCTAGTATTTATACATCACTCCTGCTTTCACCTGGCTCTGTTTAGGATCCTGGAACACCTGTTATTGTTTAGCTTGAGTTCATTATTAATTGTTGGTAGTTAGTTATTAAAACTATCATTTTAATTTTCCCTCTGGAATTCAGTAATCCTTTGTAGATAACATTGGATACCAAGTTTTGCCTTTATATCTCATCAAAAAAACCTTCTGAGTTGTTTTTAAAAGTGTAAACTGGCATTTCATCACTATACTAGACACAAATTAAAAGTACCTCATTTCTCTGTACTGGGTAGTGAATATGCGGTTCTATGTGGTAATGATAATCCCAGCCTTGGTTACAGAGATCAGAAGAATATCACTGAGTAAAGTGCAAAGACTGAACCAGTTTGTTGTATGTGATTAACACTCCTGCATTCTGATTCACTTTATATTTAATCTGAGTAATAAGAAAATGCTGTACAAATGTAGAAAGGGAATAATTTACTTTCTTTTAATTTAAGAAATATTGTGAATTATGTGGATAGTCCTTTGGGACAAGGAAACTATTATATTGTCTCAGTCTTTAGTAATCCAACAACCATGAAATCAGTTAATTGTATATGTTAGCAGTGTTTCAGCATGTAGTTTTCAGTATTGCTTAGGCAGAAAGAGAGCAGGGAGACAAACAGGGAGAGAGAGAGAGAGATCTGGTCCTCTGGTTCTTGTGCAGTCTTGAAGTTCGTGATCCACTTTCACCTAGAATTAAATTAATCCACTTGTCCATTTGTCACTAACTTGTGTGACAACTACTAACACTAGAGAATACAAACATTATTTTCAATCCCAAGATTCAATTTCTTCTGGTCATTTTGTATTTTGTTGTAATTAGAAATCAATTGTACAGGTGGTCAAAGTAAAACTTTTGGTTCATTTATACTGACATTGTTTGTAATTCCAGTTTTGTATTCAGTGCCTTGTGGCTAAGGATATTTTTCCTTAAGTAACATTTATAACCCTAGCTTCATTATTTTAGTAGCCCGAAAAGAAGCAAGAAGATTCTCCTTGTCATACTCTGTCTTTGTGAACTTCAGGCTAGGTATAAGGAACTTACCTGGATTTCTTAGCAGAGTCATCCAGGCTGAAGAAGAGAAAATGTCTGCAAGTAGGAAAGCTCAGAGCACACAGACATGTGCATGAACCTCAACATTTAGTACTGAGACCAGGGTTGGTACGCTTTGATTTGGCAAATGTAGCACACTTTTTCCCTGGTTCTTCACCTCTATAGCTACTGTGATTAAATTGTAATACAACTTAAAGTTTATCCCTTAGAAGTTATCCTAGGATTATAATTCTAATAACTATATGATGTACCAGGACATTCTTTGGACAACCAGCTCCCAAATAATGACATGGAGACTTCTTATTAATCATGAAAGTTCAGCCTTAGCTTAGACATATTCCCAGATAGTTTCTGTAACTTAAATTAACCCATCTTTATAAGCCTATGTTCTTCTACGTGGCTTGTTACCTGTCCTCTGTACTGTACGTCTGACTCCCTCCACATCTCACTAGTGAATCCGTTGCCTCTCAGATTCTTCCCGTGAGTTCCTCTCTCCCCCTGAAGTCCTGCCTAACTTCTCCTACTTAGCTCTTGGCCATGTATCTCTTTATTAAACCAATCAGAAGGTGCCTTTGGCAGATGATGTAAAACAGACACATCTTTACAGTGTACAAAATGATTATTCCATACAATATGGCTTTTACTTGAGTCAATAACATGTCAAGGTAATTTGTTTCACTTTTACATCATTTATTTTTCTAAGTTTATGGAAAATATACAATAGTAGATTATATCTGGCTTCAATAAACTATTCTTCTATAGCTTATATTCCAATTCAATGGGCATTAAGCTCTGACCTAAAAAAGCCTTGAGTAAAAAGCTAATCCTCTCATTTTATTATGATCCCTTCTTTGGACTTTTGTAAAGGGAAGCTTTTTCCTTGAGAGAAGCCTTCCCACCAGCCTGGTTCTAGAGTCCCAAATAAACACACAGGAGGCTATATTAATTATGAAGCTGTTGGCCTTGCTTGCTTCTTACTGGCTAGCTCTGACTTAAGTAATTACCCCGTAATTGTTAATCTAAGTATTTCTCTTACCAGAGAAGTTTCCGGGCTTCCTACCCCATGGCATTACATCTTGACTCTCTATGTTTCTCCTTCCCAGAGTCCTCCTGGACTCCTAGTCCCACCTATCTAGATTCCTACTGGCCAGCAGTGCTTTATGGGCATATACATAGGACTTCCCCAACAGACTTTAAAGACTTTTTAAAATTTATTTTTTAATGAAAATAATTTTCATACAATATATTTTGATCATGGTTTTCCTTCTCTCATCTCATCCCAGATCCTTATCAACTCCCACCCTTCCAACTCCACAACGAAGCAAAACAAAGGCAGAGAAACAAAAAAAATAAACTAACAAAAAAAAAAAGAAACTAGGAAGAAGCACAAGAAACACACACACACACACACACACACGTACATACACAAATACAACAAGTTTAAAAAACAAGCAATGTCATACAAAATTCTCCAAATGTATCTATGTGTTTATTTTTGTTGGCCATTTATTGCTGGGCAAGTGACCTGCCCTTAAGAGTGGTTTGTACAGCCAATGAGAATCCCTTTAAGAAACTATGTTTTCCTTTGTAAGCTATTGTTAGTTAGATACACCTTCTTCATGATGATAGGAATTAGTTTCCAAGCCGCCTCTCAGTGCTGGACTCCATCTGGCCCAAACTCATGGCAGCCATGTGCATGGTGCCACAGTATCTGTGAGTTCATAGGTGCACCAATCTTATTGTGTCTAGAAGACATGATTTTCTTGGTATCAACAATCCCTTCAGGCTTCAAAAATCTTTCTTCCTCTGTAACAAATAGTCTTTCCCCCAGCCGCCTGGGCCCTGCCGAGCTGTCTAAACCCTCAAATAACACACAGGTCACTATATTAATTATGAAGCTGTTGGCCATTTGCTTGGCTTCTTATTGTCTAGCTCTGACTTAAGTATTTAACCCATAATTGCTAATCTAAGTATTTCCATGTCTTTTACTGGAGGAAGGATCCCAGCATGCTACTTCTCCCGCATCCTACATGGTAACTGACTGTGCCTCTGTTTCCCAGAGTTCTCCTCGACCCCTAGTCCCACCTATCTTGCTTCCCTATTGGCCAACAGTGTTTTATTCAACAACCAATAAGAGAGACATATTTACAGAATGACATCTCCCATCATTCCTCCTCATGTGTATCATCCCCTGAACTCTGAGGGAAGATTTGATGAAGGTAATTCACTTAAGACTGAGTGTTTCAAGGTCCTACACTCTGCATTTTTCCATCTACTGCAGGCAAAAGCTTTTCTGGCTATGTCTGAATATGATCTGGTTTATAAGGACAGCAGAATGTCATTAGGAGACATTTTATTGTTACATTCCTTTAACAGCACTGTAGTATTTGATTTTCACCTATGCCCTTGTACAATTTAGTCTTAGATTCTTCGCCATGCAAACAGTATCAGGAATGGATTCTGTCTCATAGAATGGGCCTTATATCTAATCAGATTTTGTTTGATTACTCTCACAACATTTGTGCCACTAATGTACTAGCATATCTTGCATGCATATTACCACTGCAGATTGAAGTGTTTGTAGCTGGTTTGGTGTTCTGGCAACCAACTGGTTAGTACACTGACTATAGTCAGTAGGACTGTAGGCTTTCCCCCAGCTTGGCTTCTCCCTGTTCAATGAGATATGTGCTTGGCTCCCTAACTAATAGATTTGGCAATAGCCTAGGTTACTTGAAGATTTCCATGGGACCATTTGAGCCACAGCTCAATTAGATGGAACCCATTTCTTACATTGTAGATTCCATTTGGTGGTGAGGTATATCTAGTTGGGGCTTTGTCTCCCCTTTTATCTGGTAATTTATTTGGATTATTTGGATTTCTTTCAGATATGTATATATCTTAAGATGCTTCCATTCTAGGTTTCTGTTTGACCCTCAAATGGTATTCATGCTTAATATCCCTCCCCAAAAAACCTCTTTACACTGTTCCCCTCACTGTCTCCATTTAATCCTCTCATTCCAGTCTTTCCCACCCCTGTTTAGCTCCAACTATATACTCTATCTCTGTTTCCTTAGAGGATCCTTTCCTTTGCCTTAGTTACTTATATTATACCAAACTCTGTAGTTATTTAGTCATATACCTGTCTGTAATGTGTAGTCTTCCCACCAGCCACTTGGGTCCCGCTGCTGTTCAGCTCTCAAATAACACACAAGACACTATGTTAATTATGAGGCTATTGGCATTTGCTATAGTTTCTTGCTCGGACTTAATTATTAGCCTATAATTACCAATGTATATTTTTATAAGGTCTTATCTTACCAAGGACACAGCCTCATGTGTCCTCTCTATGCGATCACATGGTGATGACTGTCTTCACTACCATTCCCAGAAGCCTCTGCGACTCCTAGTCCCACCTATCTTGCTTCCCTATTGGCCAACAGTGCTTTGTTCATCAGCATATACACAGAAGGACTTCCCCCATCATCTACCTAAAGTTTAAAACCTAACATCCATATATAAAAAATACAAACAATATTTATCTTTTTGGGTTTAGCTTGCCTCACTCAGGATAATTTTTTTCTAGATACACCCAGTTACCTATGAATTTCAGGATTTCTCCTAACAGCTGAGTAGTATTTCATCATGGAAATGTACCACATTTTCATGATCCATTCTTCTGTTGATGGACATCTATGCTGTGTCCAATTTCTGTTCTGTTAGAAATAGAACAGCAGTGAACTTGGTTTAGTAAATGTCTCTGTGGTAGGACTTAGCATTCTAGCATATTACAAGAGTAGTATAGCTGCATATTTAGGTAGTTCTATCTTCAGCTTCCAGAGAAACAGCTTCACTGATTTCCATAGTAGTGGTTGTACAATTTTGCACTCCCACCAGCAGCGAGTGTTTGTTAGCCCTACATCCTCATCACTATAAACTGTCATGTGTTTTTTGATCTTGACCATTCTGACAGGTGTAAGATAAAATCTCAGAGTATTTTTGATTTGTATTTTCCTGGTGATTAAGAATGTTAAACATTCCCTTGTTTTTCATCCATTTTTTTATTTTATCAAATATGTACTCCCTGTTTAATTTTGTACCCCATTTTATAATTGAGTTATTTATGTCAAGGGTTTTTGTTTTTATACATTTTAGATATTAGCTTGCTATTAGATAAGGGATTGGTAAAGCACTTTCCCCATTCTGAAGCCTGTTATTTTATTTGAAGAGATGGTGTCCTTTGCTGTACAGCTTTTTAGTTGCATGAGGTCCCATTTATTAATTATTGATCTTAGTGGCCATGTGCTGTTGGTGCTCAGTTCAAAAAGCCTTCTTCTGTGACGATGATTCAAAACTACTCCCAACTTTCTCTTCTGTCAGATTCAGGGTATCTTGCCTTATGTTGAATTATGATCAACATGAAGGCCGATCTGTATTCATCTTCTGCATGCTGATATTCAGTATGACCAGCACTATTTCTTGAGGATGCTATCTTTTTTTCCAGTGTGTATTTCAAAATTCATTGTCAAAAATCAGGTGTCTGTGGGTGTGTGGATTTATGACTAGGTTTGCAATTTGATTTCATTGGTCCATGTGTCTGTTTATGTCAATACAATGCTGATTTTATTACTATAGATTTGTTGTGGGACTTGAGTTTGAGGATAATGCTATCCCCAGCAATTTGTTCATTATTCATGATTGTTCTAGCTCTCCTGCAATATTTTTGCTTCCATATAAATCTGAAAATTGTTCTTCAAATTTCTTTGAAGAATTGTGTTGGAATATTGATGGAGCCTTTTTGGGATCTGTAGCATGCTTTTGGGTATGATGACCATTTTCACTATACTAATCCTACTGATCCAAAAGCATGAGAGATCTTTCCATCTTCTGATATCTTCTTCAGTTTCTTTCTTCAGTGCCTTAAAGTTTTTATTGTATAGATAAAATTGTTTCTTAATACCTGTCTTGATACATTTTTCATTCAATTGTTAGTTATTCAGTTTTGAGTAGTTTGTGTGCTTTCTGTAGTTTCTGATATTCAGCTTTAACTCATAGTAGTAAGAGAGGGCATGGTGTTATTTCAGTATTCTTATGAATCTTGAAACATGCTTTGTGCTCATGTATGTGGCCAGTTTTGGAGAAAGTTCCATAAGCTGTTGAGAAGGTATATTCTTTTGTGTTCAAATGAAATGGTTTATAAATATCTGCTAGATACATTTAATTTATTGCCAGCATTTCCCAGCACATCTGTCACTTTCTGTTTGCTTATTATATTCATATTATTGGAGCAATTATGAATAATGATGAGATAACTATTATGCTGCTAAAATAAAAAATCTTCAGAGAATTACACCAATGTATATTTCATAGTATGCTTTGGAAGTTTCAAATTGCTCAGTGATGATTGTAAGATGCTTATCCCAAAATACAGTAGATTTTATTCTGTTTTAGAAGCATAAGTAAGCCTTCTCATTGTCCTCAGAAGACCTGTAAAGAAAAAAAATTAAGTCAAAATTTATTAGTCTTTGTTACTAGTTAGAATGAATAAATGATAGCATAAAAATGAAACCAATTTACTCAGTAGCTTACTAAGAATTAATTCCGAAAACACACTGGCAGGTCACACAAATCAGGTTTTAAACCTTTGATTTCCTATATTTTGGAAACTCAATTTGTTTATAAAACTTCCTTCCTAATATTGTTAAAATGAACATGTAGCATGGTCGCTCATGTTTATAAAGCTAGAAATCATGGGTAAATACAAGAGTAACATGAGCTCAGGGTCAGCATGAAGTAAGTAACCAGAACCTATCACAGATACAGTTATTAAAATTATTAAATAATCTATGTACATATTCTCCTCTCCTTTCTTTCTTTTCTCTTTTTGAAGTAGAAACTTATTAGATAATGATAGTACAGTTAGAATAATAAAAGTAAAACCTAAGCAAAATTTAGAACTTCAAATGTACCCTGAGTCATCATTTTGGTGTGGCTTTGTCAAATTAGACTGAATGATACACAAAATTACAATGGTATTGAAGCAATGTCTTACAAAATCAAAGCCTTACAAAAAAGTCTCCTCTCCATTAGTTTGTTTTGATCATTTTTTCTCTGTTGGGCTCCTGAAATACCTTGCAAAATATGTATGATCATCCTTGTCACAAGACTGGAAATATACAATTCAAATGTTTGTTCAAATCTCTCTCTCTCTCTCTCTCTCTCTCTCTCTCTCTCTCTGTCTCTCTGTCTCTCTGTCTCTCTGTCTCTCTCTCTCTCTCTCACACGCACACACACACACACACACGAGGGTAGCAGACTTAGATTGGAACTTTTGCTAGATCTCTGGGATTGGTAGCAGATCTGTTTTTCTAACTGAGATAATGTGCATCTGAGGAAATTGAAGGATCAATGAGACATTTGGATAAATGCTGATGAATACATACTGGTAACTTTGGTTGTACATGAATGAAAGATAAAATGAACAAGGCCATGACTCTGACTGTGAATTTGAGATTATCAGACTAAAAAGCTGATAAATCAAGATTGGAACTCATCAGGAAGTAAATGGATATATTTCGATGACAAAATGTAGGACAATTGTCTAATCACGTAGAGCTGATGCTTAATGTGAAATCTTTCAAAGATTTAAATACAAATGTAATGGGGAAGTGGCAATACCTTTTGTTATGGAATTGGACTGGGGAAATTGAAAAATATTGATAAAATCAGTGTGTCTGTTTGCAATGAAGAAGGACAAAGTTTAGGAAGTCATTGCTACAGTGCTAGTGGGCCTTACATTATATATACATGTGATGTGGCAAGTGATATTCAAAAATCCAAGCACTATACACCGTCATCACAGTTTAAGTTCACACATGGTAGAGGTATCACTGACATCCAGATTTAAGTAACATGTACAAGACTAAGCTGTAAAACCAGCACAGCTAAAATGTGCTAAATTATATCTGCTAATAATTTATTTTCAAGATTTACTTATTTATTATATACAAACACATCAGAAGAGGGCGCCCGATCATTGTAGATTATTGTGAGTCACCATGTGGGTGCTGGGAATTAAACTCAGGACCTTTGGAAGAGCAGCCAGTGAACTTAACCTCTGAGCCATCTCTCCTCCAGTGGCATGATTCTTTCTTCTTCTGGGTGACTTTTGTTTATTTGATTTTCTCCTATTTACATTATTTGAAGAGCCAGATAATGTCCCAAAGTTGGCATTAAAGTACACCTCATGTGCTCAAATCCAGACCCTCATACTCACCTGAAACACATCTTGTCAAATCTCTTTTTTTGTTAATTTTGTATTTCTTCCTCTGTAATACTAGATTAATAAAGGGATCACTGTGGAATTTATTGACAGACACAAAAAGTGCACTTCATATTGTAGCATTCTAAGTGTTGATTCCTTTATTATTGAATACATACCAATAGATTACTACAAGTAGATTTCTGATAAAGAGAAGAAAACACGCCGACTAACAGCATAGCAGATCAAGTTGGTCATTATACATATTCTAGATTTTCCATGTTATGCATCTGAGATATAATATACAATTTTAATGTTGCCGAAGGATCACAAATTATGCATAATAAACACTTATAATGCAGTTTTATTGTCTCTGAGTTGTAGGGAAATGTTAGATTCAAAAGATAATAGCAATAAACAAAATATTACTGTGTAGATATCTACACTATGAAGATCAGATGGTCTTTATGTAAAGTATATTTCCAGCCATCAGAAACAGACAAATACTCAGAAAAAATTCAGTTCCTGTCACTATTGAAAAGGAAATAAAATGTGATCAATACTTAGGGTTGTAGTTCAGCTTATGTTTTATTAGTGTTAAGTAATTGTCTTTATGAAAGATTATGGTAATAAAGTGCACTGTGTGGCTGTACATACTTGAAATGTGATTCTGTGATAGTGTAAAATTATACTGCATGTACCAAGTAATGTTTACAATATTAACTCATTATAGCTGATGGGAGAAAGAGGATATAAAAGAATGCCTTCACATATTGAATGATAATTTTATAATACAATGATTTATATACCAATTATCAAATCCAGATTTCATGATTTGGTATTTAAAATTTATAACTGATGGATAAAACTGTACAAACTTATAATGTACTATGTTTACAGACATGCATACATCATATAATTTCCAAGTAAGTGTAATCACTCCTCCTCCTCAAACATTCATCATTTCTTTGTGTTTAAAATTTTTAGAAATTTTTTCTCCTAGCTCTTTTGAAGTTGTCATTATTTAGTCACAACAGTGCAACAGCCTAGAACGTCTTCCTTCTGTATCACTCCAGAGTAATTGGTGCTCAGTGCATCAATTGATGAATGTGTTTATTTTTTAAAAAATAAGGTGAAATCCACAGTGAAATAATAATTATTAGGTTTTTTGTGTGAATAAAATGTATTATGTCTCAAAACTGAAAGAGAAATTCCAATTAGGCTGCCTCAAATAATACTACTAACAATAGCAGTGAAGTAACAAATCACAATGTCAAGAGTGGAAAATATTCAGACACATTTAAAGATACACAATTTATCCAAAAGTGAAAGCTTCCCGATACGATCCTGGCTCCATTCACTGTAGTTTAGGTCACTAAATCGTATTAAGTCTCATGTCTATATAATTCATTCTACTTTTATTTCCCACTCATTTAACAGGAGAAATCCTAAATTCTTTTTCTGACTTTCTGGAATCTAAAACAGAGAGCTTCCTAATCTACGATGAAACAAAGATGAGGACCTGGGATTCCTCACTTAGCTAAAATACACAAGTTATTAATAACTCTAAATCTAGAGAGTGAAAGGCAAAAAGATTTCAGAAGAGAACTCATCCCTCCCACCCAACACCATGGACTAAGTAGGAGTGGAAAGAAATTAGTAGAATAATTGTCACAAAAGAATGAACCATTTAAAATTTATCCCCATTAATATAGAATGCAAATTGTTCTCTGAGTATCTCTGAGTATCTGAGTATCTCACCTATAAAACTGAATAATAGTTCTGGAAATCAGTAGAAGAATTGCCACAAAAGAATGAACTATTTAAAATTAATCCCCATGAATATAGGATGCAAGTTACTTGTTCTCTGAGTATCTGAGTATCTGACCTATATAATAGAATGGCAGTTCTGTGAGATATGGCTCAGATCAGGCACCTACACTTGAGCCGGAAAACTGCAGCTGATGTGGCTCAGGAAGTTCTTGCTTCCTTAGAACCAGTTCCTCCACTCTCTACTTCTTTACGTTTTTATCTTTTTGGTTTAACGATCCCATTATTATCAGTTTCCCCTTGGCAAGTACTTTCTTTTAAAACTGCCTTGTATATGCATTTGAAAACAATTTGCCTCCAAATCCTCCCTACTGTATACCTAATAAGGAATGTGGTATTTTGTGAAATGAATTCTGGATTTACTCTATTTATTTCAATGAAAAAATAATATGTGTATCCCAAAGCATTTCTCCTTATTCATCTGAAGAAATAATTTTGTTATTTAAAACTATGACAGGTTTCCAAGTTCTGTAAATAGGCCTCTGTAAAGATTTCTTGAAGAGTTATTGTTGTTCCCTCTAGAGACAGAAAGCTCAGAATTAACAAAGACTGGTTCAATGCATCCATCACTAAAATGCAGTCAACAGACAGAGGGAGACTAAAATGAGAGGAAGGACGGGAGAGTGTTCACACTTAATTATGAGGCTGTGTAATCCCTGGATTTTTCATAGCAGCAAGAAAATGACTTTCTGTTTTAAATTAGATTGTCATATCTGGATCCATTGAAGATTTGGGTCACTATACGTGACTAGGTTCACACAGTGAAATAGACAAGAGTCCTTAGCTGGTACAGTTGCATTGGTGCTTCTGCTATTGTCTGGTCATCTTCCTCATAATGGGCAGACTAGGATTTACGAAGGTTTCTTTCCCCTTAGTATTTCCCATCTGTAACATAGAAAGAAAACCCTCTCAGAGCTGTATCTTCTAGACTTTGAAAAGAGTCACCTGTTTCAACAGGTTCTTCCTTGCTTTAAGGTGGTGATTCTCAACCTTGGAGTCACAATCACTTTGGGGGGGTCAAATGACCCTTTCACAGGGGTCACCTAAGACCATAGGAAAATACAAACTTTTACATTATAATTCCCTAGTAGCAAAATTACAGTTACGAAGTAGCAACAAAAATAATTCTATTGTTGGGGGTCACCACATCATGAAGGACTGTGTTAAAGGGTCACAGCATTAGGAAGGTTGAGAACCACGACCTTAAGAGAGTTTTGTGATAGAATGTATGGATAGACACAGATAAATGATATAGAAAAAATGATTGGATAGATATAGGTATGGATATAGATATAGTTACAGATGTAGATATCTGGCAGCCTTGCTACTATTCGTGCCATGGGCCTGATGTCAGATAAAAATAAACTTCCCAGGTAACCTACTGAGAATATTCAAT